GCGGGGGGCTACAGCCGACTCCGAGCTGGTAAGTACTAGGGGCAGAGGAAGCGGGGTTGGGGGAGGGGACCACGGGGGGGACCCCTGCCAGCCCCCCAAGCCCCCCAAAACCCTACCCTGGACCCAGTGCTTTAAAGAAAAGCCCCGGTGCTCAGAGTGCTGCTGGGCAGGGGACCAATCCCCCATGCTGCATGGGGGGCTCTGCATAAGCCCCCCCGACGCCCTCCCCATGGGTGCTCTGCCTGGGCCAGCTCCAGCCAGCTCCGGCCCTTTCAGAAGAAAAAAAAAAATGGAAAAAAGCCCTAGGACGCACCGCTCCTGGTGCAGCCTCGGGGCTTCAGGAGGCTCATGCAGAGCCCCCCACCTGGTGCAGCGGGGATTACCCCACTGCCAGCAGGAGCAGTGATGGGGCTTTTCTCAGGTTTTTTTTTTTCTTCAAGGGCCAGAGCAGGGGGGGGGGAGGTTGGGGGCCTCATACAGAGCCCCCACACAGCGTAAGGCAGTGGGGATCGCCCCCTGCCCAGCAGCACCTGGTAAGCTTAGGGGGGGGCCTTCCCCAATGAGCCAGGAGCTGGAGCAGGCAGGGCAGCCATTGCCGGGCTGGGGGGTGAAGGGCCTGGCTGATTCGGAGATTCAGCAGCAGCTGAGTCTCCAAATCAGATTCAGCTGAATCAATTCGGGGACAGCGATTCAAATCACTGAATCAAATCACTGTCCCCCGAATCAGTCAAATCTGGAGCAAATACTAGACACTTCGATTTCAATTTCTTGTGGAGGGCCAGAAGCTCCTCAAGAGGAACCATTTAATAAAAGCATCTTGTTGAAGAGACACCAAGATTGGGTGGCCCACATGAAGCTCACGGGTCTATGCATGAAAAGTACTATAGAAGAGTGAACTACTATTACTACTCAGTAGTGAGAAAATAAAGCAACAACTGTAGTAGAATGAGTATAACTGGCTACAAATAGCCAGTGTGTCATCATTTTTTTTAATTTGTCAAAAACCCTAAGCTCTTTGGAAATGTCACTAGAGAGACACACAAAGCTACATTACTGAAGTCTTCAGTGACACCTGGCAACAAAAAATATCTGTTAGTTTCCCAACAGACTTATTTTCCTCAACATTCACTGACACCAATGCATACCAGTAGAGGAATGTGTCACATATGTAACTAAGGTGGAAACCAGAGTTCTTGTGTTCTACTGAAGAACATTGTCAAGGCTGTCTGGATTTCTCCAAGGAAGTGATAAACAAAATTTAGATAGACATCTAGGATCAAGGTCCATAAGCGCAAAATTTTCGATGGTCACACAGATGCTGAAAGCAATAAAATATCTGTTTAAAAACCAGAGGAATTTTGAAATAACCAAACGTTAGATTGCTTGTGGAAAACAAAGGCCAAGACATGAAATACTGCAGAACCAAAATTCCAAGAAGTAAAATGATTTCAGGAAATTTGTTTAATAATTTTACAAGCATCATTATGAAACTATAGTGCTGTTTTAATACCAAGAAGACACATTGGCTTGGTGGAGGAGAGACCAGTTTAGAATCCCAAATATTTGATTTTTATTTTTTGGTTCTGCCATAGATTTGATGCGAGGCTTTCATCAAACCATTTAATATCTCTGTACATCAATTTCCCCATATATAAAATAAAGAGCTGCTATCTATGCCACAAAAGCGATTTAAGTGCTATGTAACTATTATGAGAATATGACACTGAAACACAATAATGTTTGCAAGATAGCAAGACTGATAATTGTGAGAACTATTTAACAAGTTGTTTGCTTAGCTGGTTTGGGGGAAAAAAAAGAATAGATTTTCCCGGACTAGTGAAAAGTAGGGGTGTACCAACAGAGATTTTTGGGGCCAATACTGATAGCCAATTTTAAGGAGGCATATTGGCTAATACCAATCCAATTTCCAATAACAACCTGGCAGCTTGGAGAGCTGCGTGAAGATGGTAAGTCTGGTGTGGTGGAAGGGGAGGGGGGAGGGGAGGGGCATGGGGGACCAGATTAAAGGTCCCTGTGGTGAGGGAAGAGTGGGGCTGGGGCAAGCTCTGCCCTACTGGGGCAGAGCAGGCACAGGACGGAGCCATTGCTCGTCCAGGAGATGCAGGGAGTACCCACCACAGTTCCTGCCTCTCATCAAGGAGGGTGTGTGCCCCCAGATCTGCATGGGGTAGGGCCAGAGCTGCGTGGGGCTCTTCATTTCAGGAAACTAAGATAAGGATACCCAAAAGCTGAGCCATATATGCTAGGAATGCACCCACTTTAGCCTTTTTGTTGCTTTTAACATAAAGCTGACCAGAAGTACTGCTAAACTGAAACACAAAAACTTGATTTAAAAAAAAAAAAAATTAATAGAATCATAGAAGTACGGTCAGAAGGGACCTTGTAGATCTTCAAGTCTGACCCCCTGCCTGGGCAGGAGGGAAACTGGGCTCAAGTGACCCCAGCCAGGTAGGCATCGAGTCGCTTCTTAAAGACCCCCAAGGTAGGAGCCAGCACCACTTCCCTTGGAAGTTGGTTCCAGATCCTAGCCGCCCTAACTGTGAAGTAGTTCTTACGGATGTCTAATCTAAACCTACTCTCCAACAACTTGTGGCCGTTATTCCTTGTTATCCCGGGGGGGCGCTAGGGGAAACAAGGTCTCCCCCAAACCCTTCTGGTCCCCCCTAGTGAGTTTACAGACAGTCATAAGGTCCCCCCTCAGCCTTCTCTTGTGAAGGCTGAACAGGTTCCAGTCCCGTAGCCTCTCATTGTAGGGTCTGCCCTGCTGTCCCCAGATCATGCGGGTATAGCATGATCCCCGGATAGCTGTCCCCAGGTCAGGTGGGTTTTATAGCAACCTTATAAAAATCCTCTACAACTTAACAGAAGTTTCTCATTAAAATAGAGTATATTTTGTATCAATGATAAATTCAAAACTGAAATGGGAAAAATTAAGCCTTTTTTCCCATCTGCTATTTAGCTCTAGTGTGTCTGGTCCTGTCCCAGAAACATGAGGAAAGGTACTGTGGTATTCAAAAGCTTATCTAGGTCTATACCAACCATGCAGTTGGTCCAATAAAAGATATCAACTACAAAAATGCTTGCTTTTTGCAATTTTCCTGGACCATCATGGCTACAACATGGCTACAACTTAAACAATACTAAAAATAGTAAAAAAGTGATTACTTCAGAAAAATGGCACCAGTATACTTTATTTGCCTTGCTTGGGTTATAGATTCAATAATCAGCGTTTATACAGACTGACAGTGAAAATACGATTACAGAACTCTCAAACTGAGGTCTGTGAACTGCTGCTGCTAAATGGAATACTTCCTTGTGACCTGACAGCTGGTTACATAGCTCTGGCTTCTACTTAGCTCTTGTAACTAAACTTAATTAAAAAACAACTAAAAATATATTTAATACTTTTCTAAACTATCTTTCTGTATAGGAAATTACCATAGCTGACCCAGGTATGGTATGTCACTGAATGATCTGCAGGATGAAAAATAATAAGAAAGTTGTCCACGAGAAAAATTGTACATAGAATCACAGACCACTTGAAGCAAAAAAAAGGTGGAGAACTTTGAATCACAGAAGCTGGAAAAAGTTCTCAATAGTACCTGTAAGTTTGATTTTGGACAAACGTGCTAAAATTCCTGGTAAATCGTCCAGCTGTAACTTCATTTCTTTCCATTGTTTTTCTTCCTTGGATTCTTCTATTCCTGATGTTGCTGAGCCTTCTATTTCTGCAGCTAACTTTGCTTTGCTGAACTCAGCTCCTTTTGATGCCTCAGGCAAAGGTAGGCAGGGAAGCGAAACTGGCTTAATCTTATGTATAACCGTTTTTTCATGCCCCAAATGTTGCCTCTCCTGGAAAGGAGGTGCAACTGGATCTGGCTTCGGTTTTGCTTGCTGATAGAGGCTTTTGTTGCACTGTGTTACATACTGGATAGAAAAAGAGAAATTAAGTTTGAGGTACAATAGTTTGGTATTTCTCAAACCTTGTAGGTTTACATTCCACCATCAAAAGCCTCCCTACGTGAGCCACTACCACCATGTTCTTCACCACCAATTCCCCTTGCCTGCAGCAATCAATGGCAGGAGGAAGTGGTAGTGACTGAAGTGCATGTGTGTGGGAGGGGGAGGGAGAGGGGAGGGGGGCAGGAAAACTATAGATCTGTGGCTGTGATATGCATGTGCCCCCCCCCCGAAATTTTTATGTACCCCAAAAGGAGGACACATACCATGCTTGCTTTAGTTTAAAAAATCTATTCTTATCAATAAATTCTGGACATCACTAACAACAATAGGAATACGATAATTAATTTCTTCTTATTGCTATACAATGTTTATGATTAAAGAAGATAACTTCATGTTGCTGATATGATTGACTCTGTGTTTCCAGTACTGCTTCATCTGCAAAACAATACCCACAACTGCACAAAATAAGCCAAAAGCCTGGTTTCCATTCAGGCATAAATAATGCTAGCTTAAGTTTAGAGAACTACTTCCAGCATAACTAAATATTCCCTTGCAGCTGCAGTTGCAAGCACTGCTCTTCACTTCCTATTCTAAACTACTGGGTATTTATTTATTTTAATTATTCATTCTACAGTTTGCTCAAGCTTTAAACAAACATAAACATAAGGATATATATACACATGACCACCCACAGTCTAATCTGCTATTATTAAGTGCTAGCTGTGTTCCAAGACACAGACACTTCTAAAAAAAAAAAAAAATTAGAAAGTAAAATTCTACCCCTCACGTTAGTCTTCTATCACAACTAATTTCAGTTCAGTCTGCCTGACCTGCCAATTTCAGAAAATGTTTCAAAGGAAAACTTTGTAAAGATGAACACTAATGGGGTGTTACTGCATAGAGTGCTTCATTTCTCCACCTGACTAGACAGATGGTAAGCTGAAATTAGCTTTTATACAGTCTTTCCCCCCTCTTTTATAGCACCTGTAGTTAGTATCATGTAAATAAAAAAGCACATATAGCCTCCCCCACATTTCAGTTTTCTTCTCTGAAGCTTTCCACATTTTTCATGTAATTTCAAGCCCAACTTATCAAGAATGTGCTAGCTTTAAAAAACTATGGAGCAGCACTTGCTGTTATATTTAACATACATTTTTAAATCCTGCAACAGTGTAGGTAAGGAAGGAAGATGTAGTGCTTTTCACCAATGAATGACTAGTTGAATGCAGCTCAAGTCAAAAACCAACAAGTCTGACAAATGCTTGATGACTTGAATGCAATGTTCCCTCTAAGGAGCAGCGGTCCGTGAATGCGCTGCCTCAGTCCAGTGTGGGACACTTACCGAAGAGGACTGAGGGCTGGGGGCCAGAGGCTGGGGCCAGGGGCTGGAGGCTGGAGCTGGAAGCCAAGGACTGGGGCCGGGGGCCGGAGCCGGAGCCTGGCACATGATCCCCGGCTCCGGGAAAGTGCTCTGCTCCCCAGCATGAGGGCTGGGGAGCGGAGCACTTCCCCAGAGCTTGCGGAGCCTGTGCCAACCCCCCTGCCCCAGCCTCCATCCCTGCCTTGCCTCCGCTGGGGCCAGGGGCTGGAGGCTGGAGCTGGAAGCCAAGGACTGGGGCCGGGGGCCGGAGCCGGAGCCTGGCACATGATCCCCGGCTCCGGGAAAGTGCTCTGCTCCCCCTATGTGCCTCCTCGCTCCCTGAGGCGATGCGGGGAAGCAAAGCAGTTTCCCGGAGCCTCACTGGGGCAGGCAGCGGCTCCCCCCCCGCGGCGGGCGACGCCCAC